AGTTGAGAGGGGACACAGCCAGGACAGCTGAATCCAACAGGCCAAAGGGATATTCCATATGTTGTAACCTCATGCTCAGCAATAAAACTGGGGTAGCAGAAGAAGAAGGGGTGGGGAGGAGGGCAGTGTCTGCCAAGGTGGCTGATGCCTGGAGACTGGCTGGGCATCAGTGTGCCTGTGGGAGGTGGCGAGTGACTGATTTGCCTTTGCATCACTTATTATTTTCGTCTTTTCTTCACTTAGCTAACTTTCTTTACCTTGATCTATGAGTTTTCTTGCCTTTGCTCTGCCTATTCTCTCCCCTGTCCTGCTGAGGGGTGTTGGGAGGAGTAAGCACAGTAGAAGCATATTAAAAGGCTTTAAAAGCAATGTAGGTGTGATAGTATAAAGTTTTGTTCATACTCTCAATTCCAGTAAACAGGCTAATGTCTGCATTTCATATATGAAAGCACTACGTATAAATTAGACTGATTTCAAATTTTTTTTAAAAAAGAACATATGAAGACAATTATGTTCCTAACCAGTCTATGGCAGAGTGCAAGAAACCTTCTTATGATGTACAGTAAGAAATGCTTATGCATCTACCTACCTCCTTAAAAAAATAAACAAAAAATAAAAACCAATTTGGTCTGAAGCAGGAGATCAAGTCTTTTTTAGACCTGGTTCGCACTTAAATTTTACAATCTTACTGCTGGCAGCATCTACTAAGACACTGGTTTACAACAAAAGCTGCATGTCCTCATAAATTCGGCTCTTTTTTTATGGACCAGAGTAGTTTTCAAGATTACTCAGCTTCTTTGAAAAACATTTATTTTAATCTTGGAAAATTGAACTAATTTAAACTAATGAAAACATCATAAAAAAACCTGAAAACTCTTTTGCTCAAACCAAGTATGAAGACAGCTTGCACAGACACTGAAAAAATTATGTATATACTAGTATTTTCATTCATTCCAAAAATCTAATAAATAAATAATGAAGTGCATATCTGGAAACACTTATTGAGCTTGAACTGATGTAAATAATTACTTTTTCCTTTGATTCTGTGTATCATTTAAAAAGCAGGACTACAGCTCATTGAAATGTGAGAATTTTATTGATGCAGTGCTTTATTCAGACACTTTTTCTAAGGAACATCAGGCCCCAGTTTTCAAAAACTGGTTTGCAATTTTAAATTCAGTTTTAAAGAAAAAAGATCAGGTTTAAGTGGCAGTGAACAAACACACTAAATGGAATTATCTTGCTAGCACACACATTACAATGAAAATAAAAATGCAAAAAACAATGTACTTTTTCATTTTCAACTTTCTAAAGTAGTAACAGAAAGAAAAAAATTACCATAGCATTTCAATTTGGATGGAGGTTCTTTTTAGTCATAGTTAAGAAATGAAGCCAGTAACTTTAAAATGCAGTAAGAAATAACACTGCGCATACTCACCATACTTCTTCTAATGTAGTCTATTGCTTTTTTCATATCCATGCCTGACCAGTTATTGAGCATGTAGCAGATGCAGGAAGCACAGTACACAAACCTCATATCATTCTCACTTCCCTCCAGCACTGCACAGAAACTGAAAGAAACGTTTCCGTCATTATACACTTGTATAGCCTGTTGTATCAGAAAACATGATAAGCAGTTCAAGGAATTGCATAATTTTTCCGTTAAAAATTAGTGACTTCTATTTACAGTGTTCACATAATCCAAAAATATGCTAGATTTTCTTTGTAGAAGATGTGATTCTAACTAAGCCAAGCAAAATGAATAGAACTATTCACATTTAGGGGCTTTATTGCTTTATTTCCAGCAATGTAATGACACTGGTCTTTAATTATTCAAAGATGTTAATGCTTACAGTTTTTCACCTATCACAGTATGTACTGATGTATGAGTTACCATTTTAACACTTACTGTTCTGGGCAGAATTTTTTGCCTTCCTAGAAATCTTAATAGCTCACAAGGCTTTCATTCCTGACTGCAACTTCAGGATCAGTTTCTCATGTATGTGCAAATGCAATTGTCATTACTACCAGTTCTAATACAGATGATGAAAATTACCTACAATCCATTTTTTTATTTCTTATGGCTATAATCTTTCCAAACTATATGAACATTTTGAAGTTGCTGTATCTGGGTTACCTAGGTACAATCCTGTGCTCTCTTAGAGACTCTTAAAATGAAGATGGAGGCTGTGATTTGCTGCCTGACAAGCCTCCATTCGGTTCAAAGATCTGGTTAGTATATTTTGATGACCTAATCACTTGCAAGAAGCCAGCACAATAGAGTATTTTGATGAGTCCTCCTGACAAATCTCTTCTAAAAAAGAAAAAAAAAAAGGTATTTCTGACTTTACAGTCTTCTACGCACAACTGTCACCACTATGACACTCCCTCTTTGACCCTGCAATTCAAGTATGTACCTCATTACCTTCTTGCATAGAAAAGCCTCCAACATTTACTGGAAGATACTTTCATCTCTCCTAACCCCAATGATGACAGGCCCTGCTCTCTGCAGCTCAGAGAATATAAAACATAGGGTCATGTATGTATCAGTCTGTACATTAAAACCACACACGATACAAACATTTAGAAGAGGTTAACGGCATGAAGCTTATTACTGTAATCAGGCAAGATGACAAGTAACCACTTCAAGATGCTAGTGGGTTGGGAGAAACTCCCTCCTTTCAGATGTATTTTTAAAACAAAAATCATCCAGCATATAATAGGAATGCTTGGAGCAATGGAACAGGCACAAGCCCTGCCACATGCTTCAAAAAACTGCAAACTATAGCAGATCAACAAATACATGTATATGTATCTGTACACATACATTAGGACTTGGCCCATTAAAGTCAATCTGCTGTTATAAAATCACAGAAAATTGTACATCATTCTGGAACTTTGTGTTTGTTTTTTCTTTCTAGAAACACATGCAACACTGCATTTTTTATAGTTGTGTTATGAAAAAAAGTTTCAATTATAGAAGATGTCTAGGTGATACACAGCTGATTTAACGAAAACAAAAGCTTTCTTAACGCGTAAAGGATAACAGCAATTTCTTTGTGAAGTGAAAGATAATTCCTTCAGGAACATTTCTATAATTCTGCATTTCTTAAAGTACTCTTTCAAAAATGACATTCGGTAAGATGTAACTACATAGACAGATCATGTGCTCTAGCAGAAGTTTCCATTAGCTACTAGCTTCAGTCTGCATTGAAAAAAACAACCACCACCATCACCAAGAAGATCAAAGAGTATACACAATCTACAAAAAAATGGGCAGATCTCACAATGAAGTGTAGTAATATTATACTCGTATTACAAGTAATATATAGGCTAATTCATCCTGATAGTGATATCTTGCACCTCTCAAAACTAAATAAAGCCCATCCTCCCACAAAGCAGATAAAACATCATCATAGTAGTGTTCCAGGGCCCTGCAAAAAACAGAGAATATAAACACAGAAATCCTCACTTATTTGAAGGACAGAGCAAAAAAACTATCCTCAAGACATAAACCATTCCATTAATTTACCCGTAATAAGTATTTACAGTTTTAAGCAAATACCGTCATTCTCCAATACAAAAACAAACCTATACACAAAGTGCTCTTTGGTCCTGTACACTGGCATGTGTTCTATGACTGACACTGATTACTCACCAAAGTATTTTCTAATAGAAAGAGAAAATTACATAACTAATTTAATAAAAAACATGTTTCTTATGTTTTATTCCACATCTGGGTTTTCTATTAACCTTCAAGAGAGTTGTAGAATATAAAATATCTTTTACCTTCCATCCTCCAGCTGGAGAGCTCTCAGTCCTGCCAGTATGGCATCTTTATTTACTCGACTTAAATCATCTCCAAGAATAACCAGACATGACAGACCTGTGTAAGTCATTGCTATGTGGCCACTATCATAGGGATGAGATATACCTGGACCCTAGAAAAAAGGGGTGAAAAGTAATAATATTGTAACATCATAAGACCTTATATTAAAATTACAGTCAAGCATTTATTTAAAATATAATAAAAACTAAGAGGTAAACAAAGTTCTCTTCCCTTCACTCATTATGGTTGAACTGAAGGCATCCTACCCAGCTCTTCTAATCAAAGTAAGCTACGGCACAGCTACCCTTGCAAACAGTTGGTCAGTAAGAAGCTTAGGAAAAAAGCTTTGCCAAGAGTGATACTTATGCAAGAATTAAACAAAAAGATGGGATGTGCTCAACTGTATCTAAGTGTACACACCACTGGGCATTAGCTTCCTGGCAGCTGGGATAAACACTGCTGAACAGCCAAACCTCTAGAGCAAAAGGACAGTCTTCAACAGATTAGATTGTAAAGTCTTCAACAAAAACTTTACAAGCAGATGATCTACAAGTAGAAAGCAGTGGCAGGCATTATTAGTAATGTCTCTGTCATTGAAACAATATCAAATTAGCCTCTCGTGTACTTTCACCTCTACTCTAAAACAATAATTGGAGCTTAAACAAAGTATTTACATAGCAAATAATGTCAAATGAGAAGCTAAAATGAGAGTTAAATGCTGACTAGTCACATGACGTATATCACAATAATGGGTGGGGGATTGATACAGCTGCGCTAAAATTTTTATTTTTCCTCATGATATTTTAAAGGCATATCCTGCACTGTACCACTTCATGAAAACAGAAACCACGTGTAACAAGATGACTTTGGATACTTGGAATGGTTCAGACTGGAGCAACTGGAAGACAACTGTTTTAAAAAGGATAAAAGCCATTTCAATACTGAGTAGTAGAGACACAGTTTTAAAATTACATTTTACTAGCATTATTGGCTAGTCAGTTGCCATTTTCATTTTGCAATTCACCCTAAAAACACATGCAAAAAACAGCAGAAAATCAAATTTAAGATTATGTTATGTGTAATTGGTATTTTTCAGGCAAGTCAAGCTTATTTCCAATGTCAAAAAGCTTTGCTTCTAATAAGAAACTGGGAGAAAAATACTTATTACCCACTAGACAGCAAGGGACTGTTCTCACTCTAGGGAATCAAACACAGTTGTGAAAGGGAGGCAGAAAACAAGGTGAAAGTGGCTGCAGCAGCACTGAAAAAGTTCGAGCTATGCTGAGGGAAGAGGAATAAGAGAGTGAGCACTGCGAGTTAAGCCTCCTCTCCCTCATTTCCAGCCCTGGACTCTTGGTTGAGAGAGTGAACCGATCCCAACAGCTCCCACTCCTGCCCATCACCATCTCCTGCTTTGTACATCCCCCAGTCATGCACACACAATCACAGAGTGGTGGAAGCTGGCTGGGACCTCTGGAGGTCCTCTGGTCCAAAACCCTGCTCAAGCACAGGGTTGGGTGCACAGGACCATGTCCTGACAGCTTTTGAAAATCTCCAGGGATGGAGACTCCACTACCCCTCTGGCAACCTCTGACAGTACTTGGTCACCCTCACGGTAAAAAAGTGTTTCCTGGTGTTCAGAGGGACCCTCCTGTGTTTCAGTGTGTGCCCACTGCCTCTAGTCCTGTCACTGGGCACCACTGAAAAGAGCCGGGCTCTGTCCTCTTGCACCCTCCCTGCAGGTATTTATACATCGATGAGATCCCCCTGAGCCCTCTCTTCTCCAGCTGAACAGTCCCAGCTGCCTCAGCCTTTCACCTTCCTGGGAGATGCACCAGTCCCAGACAGACTTCCCCATGGGGAACCCCACAGATGGAGGACAGCTGTGCCCTCCAACAGCTTAGAAAAAGCTACTGCAGTCATGAAGCATATTTTTCTAACTTGTGTGGATGACAGGCTCTAATCCCAGAAGGAACAACTTGGTCTATCATGCCAATTTTAGGGATTTTAAATCTAACAGAACCAAAAATCTTCCTTTCAGACTACCTTCCCCTTAAAAAATTTATTATAAGCAGCTTAACTCTTACGATGCATCAATTTATTTCAAATGCAGAATTCTGTTCCAAAAATCCAGACATACAGAGTGATAGAAATTTGCCTGGATGCAGAGAAGTATTGAGTTTAATGTAATTGATTAATTTACTTTGAAGCAAAGCAAGTATCTATTCTAAAAAGCCAAATTTCAACTAGTTCTTGCCCTAAAAGGATCCTCAATGTTTCAGATCTGTAGCTAAAGCTTCTCAAATTTGTCAAAGTAAGACAAACACTAGTAAAAAAAAAAAATACCTGGAATGGTCCTCCGACATTAGGACCAACTGTTTACAAAACATCCCAGCAGTTCCTGTCAGCAACTATGAAGAAAACCACATTTCCAGACATCTATATAACTGAAGTTAAACTGGAATGAGAGGAACACTTAATTACTTCCTACTTGGAATAACCTAGGGCAGGGGAAGTGCAGGAGATGCCTCTGCTCATTTCACACAAATACACTGAAAATGCTGGAATCTGTAAATCAATGTTCACTGTTCACCACTGCTGTTTACACACTTTTATAGGTAGTTCATCTCCAGATCAATACTGACACCAGGAATAACTGAGCAGTAATAGCTATAGTGAAAGAATTCAACTTTACATTTGAAAATATTATTCCCAGAGGAAGACTACATTCACTAAGCAAGGAAGGTTTAGTCTAAGGATATTCAGACTTGCTTTTTAAAACGGTATTTACGAAAACTCTACCCAAGTGTTCATACTACTACAAACGTGCTTGGGCATTCAGGAAATCTTCTAAGGCATCTATAGTTCTCAAACAACATTCTCCTTCTAGTGACAATTTTCACTACATAAAGTAACTGAAAATGCTGCTTCACAAGATTTTAAAATTTTTTTAAATTGTACTTTTCTATACACATACTAATTCCATAGTGCCTGTAAAGCTTTGGTAGACTACTAACATGTTTAAATAACTGGGGCCTTATTTTTTAGTGAATTCTATATTTTAGTATTTCCGTTACACTATTACTCACTGCAGTAAAAACAGGCTGCAGACAAAGTGTTACAAGCACATATACTGTATGCTCATGAAATTAAGTAATACCATCCTCCCCAAACAAATCATATCAATCAATACAGCACCTGGACAATATACAAATTCCATCTGTACTTCCTTTTCTATGCAAAAATTTCAACATGTAGCTGTAGCACACTGCTTTTCCAAATACTGGAAAAGCTCTGGGTTTCAGCAACACCAGAGCTGTATAAAATTTTGCAAGACTGGTGGTTTTAATAAAGAGGACAAGCTATACTTGTATGATGCATATAAACCAAACAATAGTGTCTGCTGCTTGTACACACAATCATGAAGTTCACAGCTAAATAGTACTGCCATTTGCTTCTGTCCTTGAACACAAAACAAGTATTTAGGTACAAGTAATGCAGAAAAGGCTGTTAGGGTATGTGATTTTGAAATGTCATTATGTGAGGAATCAAGGAGATAGTCTCAGCATTCAAGAACAGCTGCTTGTAGGTCACACATTTCTCTTATCACAGAATTATCATGTGGCAAGTAATTAAATTCTTTATACAATAAGTTGGTATACTGCTAGACATCTTGATATGTAACTACTAAAAAAGGAGTTGGACAGAGGGTCCAACATACTGGTATGCAGCCAACATCTTGCAAACATTTGTTTTATGGCCAAAAATCTCTACCAATATGTCCAATATTTCAATAAAATTAAATTAAATACAGAAGGTCAGAATCAAATATGAGATCATACAGGAATTACTACAAGGCATATTCACAGAGGCCAACATGATGTTTCATATGTATAATTACTGTAGGATTTTAGAAGCTTTTGAGAGCCTAACAGATCTTTGTCCACCATATGCGGTTTTAAAAAAATAAATAAAGGAGATAAAATTATTCACCAGAACAGTAACAGAAGAATAATACATGCTGTAAGCTAACCATAATTGTTCAAATTGTAAGTGTGCTGGAATTCACTTTATCTTCTTGGCGCCATGCAATTAGTTCAAGCTCATTGTGATACTACTTATCAAAGTTTATGTTGTACCTGTACACACCAATACATACGTGACACACGAATGCAACAAAACACCTGAGCCCAACTATCAGGATATTTTTGAGGGGACAACAATCAGAGTAACTGGTCATTTCAGACCAAAAAAACCCCAAAACACCCAAGAAAATAATACTTTTTTTGCACAAAATTGTGAATTCATAAAATTTGTAAAAACTGGCCCTGTGACAATTTGATATCACAAAGTCGGACTGGAACGGCTTCTCCAAGTGCAAAAGATTACAGCAAGTCTCAAAGGTTTCATGACATAATTCTAATATCTTTAAAATTTGCATGGTTGGGAGCAAGTGTTGCTAGACTGCCTCTACTATGAAGGATCAAGTAATTCAGATGTTGTGTACAAGTTTCTCCCAAATTTATCAAAGACACCATAGTCAAAGCACCTGATTTTTAATTGGCATCTTCAGACTTGGTAAAAAGAAGTTCCTTCTTAAGTTCTGTATTATGAACAAAGCCTACTTTTAGAGAAATGTAACTATTTCTGCCTCATAGACACTGCAGACTAAAGCAACAGCAGCAACTAAGCAAACTGTGAGTCTAAAGACAAAAAAACCACTGCTGCTACCACCTCAAATTGTGAGCTTCATGGGCCAAAGACACAGAGCTAAACAGAATGAAGTTATGTTAAGAATGGCTGAAGTTACATCTCAAAAACTAGCAACAAGAAAGCTATTGAACTGTGGATGGATTGTTAAGCACTGGTGAGGCCGCACCTCACATACTGTGTTCAATTTTGGGCCCCTCTCTACAAGCAGGACATTGAGGTGCTGAAGCATGTCCAGGGAAGAGCAAGGGAGCTGGTGAGGGGTCTGGAGAACAAGTCTTATGAGGAGCAGCTGAAGGAACTGGGATTTAGTCTGGAGAAGAGGAGGCTGAGGGGAGACCTTATCACTCTCTACAACTACCTGGAAGGGGGTTGTAGTGAGGTGGGTGTTGGTCTCTTCTCTGAAGTGACAAGTGATAGGATGAGAGAAAATGGCCTCAAGTTGCACCAGGGGAGGTTTAGATTGGACATTAGGAAAAATTTCTTCAGCAAAAGGATTCTCAAGCATTGGAAGAGGCTGCCCAGGGAAGTGGTGGAGTCACCATTACTGGAGGGGTTCAAAAAACATGTAGATGTGGGACTTTGGGACATGGTTTAGTGGGCATGATGGTGTTGGGTTGGCAGTTGGACTTGATCTTAGAGGTCTTTCACAACCTTAATGATTCTATGATTCTAAGCACTTAGACTAAGCAACCAGAAGAAATACACTTAATCCAGTAAGGTTAGGTCTACATGCAGGAGTAATACAATCAGGAGTGGGTCTGGAGGGCAGAACAGTAGGTGCTGCGATACCAGGGCTCACACTGTATGCATTTCACAACTTGTGCCAGCTGCAGTTTGGCTCCGTGGACTAACGGAGTTGTTCATTCAGTTGGTTCAGTTCCATACAAAAGGAGTCCAGTCTGTCTGTCTTGCTCTTTAGGAGCAAGTACATTAAACTGCTCTTATAAAGTACTCTCTACTGATCTGAACTAATACACTGGTGCAGACATACTCTGAGAAGACAACAGTGGGGATACAGCCAGGTCCTGTTCTCTCTATAAACTTCACCTTTTGTGGTAACTAGTTTGTAGGTCACACAGGAAACAGATTAACTTGGATCTCAGTGACAAGAGTAAAGCAGTTCTGCTCTGTGGGCATTACCATCATGGTCTCCACAACCTGAGCCTTCCTTAAAAGAATTAACACTTAAAGATGCAAGGTGAGGGGAAGTTTTCAAACATTTAAAACTGGTTCAGTGATGTGATAATGTTCCCTATCACATCATCCA